CTTTTAAACTAAAGAAAAACCTTTTTTTTTTAAACTAAAATCCTAACTCCTGTGACAATTAAATGGTAACACAGCAAACGCAATAGAATTAGGAAGCTCAATAGGCTGAACTGGACCACGGTGCTAACAGAGATAAAATGATTACTCTGAATGAGTAAACACATCCTGTTTTTTCTTTGGATTGTATTTATTCAGTAGTAGATGGGATGCTTGGCATTGATCACAAACAGCACCAGAATTGATCCCAGTGCTTTGTGCAGATGTGCAAAGGGATAAACCATCAGCAGCTCCTGATACGTGAAGCGTTTTCTGTGTCAGAGGGGCTGTGCAGCTCTCCGTACCACTCGTTCCAGCCTCTGGAATGAAAGTTTCTTCAGGAATAACTAGTATTGGCATACAGGTTTGAGGAGAATGATGAATTGGGCTCATGGTTTCTGTTCCTCATGTGGGCATACTCTTCAAATACTTAGAATCTCTATTAAAGACACTCTTAAATAAAAGCCAGTCGGCAGACTGCTTGATGTTGCAGCTTCTAATATTTTTTTTTCCCCTTGTGTTCGTTTAACAGAGCTTTATTGCAGTCCTGTGCATCTATTCTAAGTACACATTTCCTTTTTAATTCATGTCTAGCTGTATGTTAGGTGACGAGGTTATTTCTCTTCTGTCATCAGAGGAAAGAAAATGGAGCATCTCCCATCTCCGCTGATGAAGAAACATTGTTGGGGCTCAGCGGGTCTTTGGATTTTATTGCCTGTATCTTCTATTGTATGGTTCTTCTTGTGTAAGAAACCACCTATGGGCTAATAATCAACAGGCAATCCTGAAACCCAGATAACAGAATTCTTCCTCTTTTAGAAGAGCAGTTTCTCTCAAATGTATATTTTTCAAAAAAAAACCCCAAACGTTATATACAGTTTTTAAACTTGTTTTATATTCCTGTCGGTTTTTAAGACTTCGGTCGTTGGTGACAGTGTAATACTTAGAGTATCCATGTGGATATTAAGGAGAATTAGCATGAAAACCAAGTAAGGAATAATTTATATCTTTGTCCCCACTGGAAGATAGACCACCTGCTGCAGAAAGTGTCATAAATGAGCCATCTAATTAAACTTTCTGAATGCCTGCCCTGGTAATTGTTTTGTATTACATGGTTAACTCCTACCCTAGAATTACCATCCCTTTTCTTGCCCGGGAAAAGTTGCTGTCAAAGTCAAATGAGAATTTTATTTGGACTGAAGGAAGGATTTTCAGTTCTGCTCTACTGGCTTGGATACCAATGGGGATTAATCTCACTAAGAACTGCAGGAACTAGCCCCAAAAATGTGCAGTATTTGTTTTAAATAACTTCTCTAGGTATTTAAATTTAAGTTCCGACATTAGGAGTAGCAAGTCAGTTCTTGTCTGATGCCCACGTTGTTTGTCGTGGAGCCCTCGGGAGCAGGGACAGCCCGTGGAGTGTACGTGGGGCGCGGCCACTGCCATCAGCTCTGGGGCTCTCATCGGCCAACGGACCCGGGCAACGGGGCTGTGACTTCAGGCTACCTGGAATCAGTACGTTTTTCTGAATTAGACCTGCCTTTTGCAGTTCTAGAAAGACAGCTTTACTAACTACTGACCACACAAATTGTTCTATTTTTATAACAGCTTACATAGCTGGGTTTTTTGGGTACAGAATTGAAGAAATACTGGTCCCTGCTCAAAAAAATGGCAGTTGTGTAACAGGAAGGGCTATTTTGATGCTGTTTAATGCCTGGAGTCGGTCTGGTTTGTACAGAAAACCTTACAGAAATAAGAGGCCTAATGGACAGGAACAGGTATAGAATACTTCAAATATTTTTTTTCATGCTTTTGTTAGTTTTTATAGTATGTGCCAAATGTTCATCCCATGACTTTGATCATAAGATTTGCCTCACGGGGGGATGTTCAGGACCTAGGCAAACTATTGTGTATGAAAAGTCACTTTTATAGAAAGATCAGTGTTATCCTTTAACATTTGGCTAAAAAATGGCAAAACAGATTTCTCAGTTTATGGCATTTCCATTTGTTATTTATTCCAGTAGAAAACTAATGCCCAAATATGAATCTCTCAGGATAATCTTCATTTGGACAGGAGTCAGGAGTGATTAATTCTTTTACGTAAAAATCCTCCTTTCATGCAATTGGGTTACATATGAGTTAGGAGGGTTTTTTGTCTTTTTCGGGTTCAGAATATCTGAAACAAAAGAAACTGTTGCTCTATGGCTTTTTCCCAATCTGCAGTTACACTGAGAAGATTATATTAACTCCAGGCTTTTAGTCAAGTCTTTTAAGTTTTGTTGACATAGTGTATCTTGTTTGGTGGTAAGAGGCATTTTTAAGACTTTAAGTCATGCTTTTTAGGGGAGAAAAACATAAATAGTATCAAATGATGTGTGTGGCTAAACTTGCAGTACAGTGAGAATTCACCATGGTTTTAATAGGAAGTTGTTTGTTGTCCTCAAAAGAAAAATCAGTGGATGAGCTTGGTGAAGCCACGAGCTGATCACTTCTGCTGTCCTAGGCCAGTTGTTTGGAGAAGGCAGGAATTAATTAATCAGGTGAACATCAGCAGATAGGGTTGGTTCCTCAGTGAGGAATGAGGAAGATCCAGAAGAGATGCAGAAATCTGTGGAAATGGAGATTGTGGCGTTCCTTACAGATGGGCACTGACCTCTTTGGTGCTGATCTAGTGAATCGTGCAGCTTCTGCGTCTTCTGCAGACTTCTGATACCCCACAGACAGCGGCATCATCGGTATCATCAGCCCCCTTTTGGTTTTTAAATGTCTTCTTCCTCTTTGGGTTAGTAACTCAAGTAATCTTCAGTGCAATACCTTCTGGTGACAATCCCATTGCAGTCATTAACTTCTCCTGAACTATGAAAACCATGGGTTTTTTCTTCATTTCAGAACAAAATGTCATTGCCAAGTGTCACGTCAGATGATTTATAGTTCTAGTGTTAGCCAGATATGATAAAGAAATAAAAGATGAGCTATTTCTAATAGATATATAATAAAAATGACATTTGAAATACACATATTTGTTAAAACTGCAATTACAAATGAAATATTAGTAGGTTGACCCGTGCAGAATTATTATTCTAAACAATTTTCATGCCATAGTAATAGTCTCAGTATTTACGTGTTTTCATTACATCAGTATCTGGCACAAGGTCGTTACTGTGAATACTTTTTTCACTGGTGTTGGCCAGTTTGCAAGCTGATAGGGTGCTTGTGTGTGCCTGTAGGGGTTTGGGGGGGTTTGTCTATACAGTTGACCACTGGTTTGCAGCATTTAGCACCAGGCTGTGTGACTGAGCTGGGCTGCACATCCATGAGCTCCCCGTGCCGGTGGGACGGCAGCAGGTCGGGGGGGAGCGGGGGGCTTCAGCCTGCCTTTATCTCCCGTCAGGCTCTCACATTCCTCTTGCCTGGCACGGCTCATGTTACACCAGCCCCTATAGACTCCAGAGGAGAACGAGCTATAAATACATCTAATATTCATCCAGGATTTTCTTGTGCAAAATGGTAGCGTGGTACCTTCTTTTTGTCAGGTCTCCCGGGATGGATCATTACTGGGGAGAGTATTGGGAAGGTGTTAGCACCTATTTTGGTACAGAGAGGACTGTCTGATTCCTTGCCTATATTCTTCTTCAGAGGGACCGTCTATTGAAAAAACATACCCTAACCTTTATCTCCATTTTTCCCCAACACCCTTTAAAAAAAATTCCTGTGATCGTTTACGCGCCAGCTCAGTTAAAGTGAGCTGGTTGCGTGTAGCCTTCTGGTTCCTCCTCATCAGAACTGCTACGCCTTTTGCTACGCCTTTTCCAACGGCAGGGCCAACCACGCTGGCTGCTCCTTAAAAGCAAAGAGATTTATTGCTGCCTCCGAGGTCATCGTTTGACCTGTTGCGCTTTTATTACAGGAGACACATGAGAACAAACGTGTCCATTCCCCCCCCCATCTTTAGTTTCAGATCCCAAATTTAATTTGCAGGACAGAGAGCTATAAATACAAATTATGTAAATTGAGGCTATTATGCTGAGAATCAGAGAGGCATGAAGCATGCTGACCCACGATACCGTCTGTAGAGTGGCTTTTCAAATTAGCCTTTCACTTTAATGGGCATGTGAGTTTAACGTTGAAATTTAATATAATAATATCTGCATATAACTTATTTGCTAGTTTTATTTCTCTGGTCTGGCAGGAATATCTGTTTTAAAACTTAATAAAAGTGTATTAGTAATTATTTTATTATAAACCAGTGTTGCACGGAACTTGGTGTCTTTCGAATTCAGATTGTTAAAACATGCAGAAAAATCCCATTTCTCTAGCACTAGTGGTCAATACTGCTTTGTTACAGACAGTTTTACCTTTTCCCTGTTCTTTATTTAAGTCTCTTGAATCTTTTCTGGATATGCAAGGATGAAAGTGGAGCGCTGGGTTTTTGTCTTGGACAGTAAAGCATTAGTTTTACTCTGAACTTTTGTGTTGAACACCAAATCTGTTTGGTCAGACATTCAGAATGTTTTGAAATTGGAATTTTATGTTCAAAGGAAACAATTACTGAACACAGAATTTGTGTGTTCGTTTCATATATTTATAGTCAAATAGCTTAAATCCTGATGGGCTCTGTGTACCTCTCTATGATCTTAGCTTTTCTGCAGTTGCTGAATTCAGGCCCATTTGCTTCCTATAAAAAAAAAATTTAATAAAGTAGGAAAAAAGGAAGTGTTTAAGAGTATCAAGAATGTGCCTCAGTACTTGTACACTTTAATGTAAGACTGTACAGTTTGAAAGTTTTAACAAGAGCCATCTCCTTTGTAAAGAATGCAGATAATTTTTTTTTTTTCTGGCAAAAAAAAAAATAAGGGTAACCTGATATGAGTCTGACAGTGTCGTTTAGTTAAGTGCTTCCATCTGTTGCTTGCTATTTCCCTTACTCATGACCTCTCTTTCTCTCTCCCACTCCTTCTCCTTAGCCCCTTTGAGGAAAGCAAAGTTTGTTGAGAGCCCTCGAATCCCAGAGTCTGAGCTTGGCTCGCCAACACTTTCTTCAGCACAGAAACTGGACGTTGATGCATACTGCCCTGGTAAGCTGCATGCAAAGGCTCTGCATTAAAGGAGGGAGAACAGGCAATTCCAGTCCAGAAGTGTTTTTAAATGTAGTACGGCTCCTTTTTCTAAATGGTTGATTGGACCTTCCCCAGCCAAGTTTTATTGACTTGGAAACTTGAATAAGTATTAGTTTCTAATTGATGCCCATTTACGTTTGTTACTTGCAGTTTTGCATGTGGCTGCTCTCCCCTCAGAATAATTTAGAAGATCTCGAGAGATGCTTTTGAGAAGATAAAAATGATTCAATAAACATACGACTTTAAATTTAATTTTTAATGCTGGTCTTCAGAGAAGCTGGAATAAAACCCCATTTCAGAAATATGATTAGATCAACTAGTGCACAAGTATAGGATCTTGGGTTTACCTGCATCCAAGAATATTGCTTTTTTGATTTTTTAAAAATACTAAAAAAAAAAAATTCTTAAGAAATAGCTTCTCATTTATGTATCCTGTGGTAATTGCTTTTAAAAGTATACATCTTGCTAGAGGCCTCTGGTTGAAACATAAATAGAAATGGGTCTTGTCCCTCCCTGGCTTAACCCCCTGTGTGTCTGACGGTTTGGGCAGGCAGTTGCATAAATACCTTCAAGCCCAGACAGACCTCATGCAGATGTGTGAGGGCCGTTAAATCTTTATATAGCCGCATCTCGCTGCCAGCTCGGTATCATTGCCCAGATTCTTCCTAACTTGGAAGTGGCAACCTGGGGAGAGCTGGATGCTGTGGTGGAGGTGCTGCCCTCCGAGGAGGCTGGGACCGGGGCTGTCTTAAAGCAGCAGCAAGTGTTTCAGTGGATTTTTGACTAAATTCTGCCTTTTTTATCCCCTGGCTCTCCCTAGTTTATGAACCAGAGGGACACGTATTCAGTATAGGCCTTGGATGGGGTAAAAGGAGGTTGAGTGTTTTGGAATGGCATGTAAATACGTCATATTTGCCTCTTAAATGTGTAGCTTCAGTAGAAAAGGTCATATTAATAAATGATTCTCTGAAATCAGTGTATCGTTTCTTTCTGTGGATGGTAAGCCTAGAGTATTCACAAGTGGAGGAATTACTGAATGTTGTCCAGATTTTGTATGTGATCTTTCTTTAATGTATTGTGTTTGAAAGAGGAGTTGTCTTGGGGAGGAAAAAAAAGTCCCTGTGCTTGGAAATGCCTCCTTTGAGGCTGTAGTTGCTGTGAAAAGTGCTGCTTCTTTTCAGTCATCATGAGTTACAATTAAAATTTTACTGTTGCAGCCCCTTCTTCTTCTAACTAAATAGCTTCTACTGTCTTGTTTATAATTGTTAATAATTATAAACTTATTATGATTGCATCCACAGAGAATTATTATTGCATTATAATTTGGCTTAAAAAGCATAAATTCCACATTCCCGTGTCTTGCATTACGTCTTGCAGGCGTGCTTGCACGTGTGTCTCTCCCTCCTGCCCCAGGTTTGCTTGCCACGGTGTTCTGAGGAGCTGGACTCCTGCCAAGCCCAGGAGCGGGCTCTGACAATGGGATCTGTGATTATTTTTTTTTTTTCCCCCCTTTTTTTTCTTTTTTTCTTTTTGATCTCCTTCTCTTGCTGATACTGTAGTGATCTGAAAGGAAAAGTGGAGTTTCCTGCTGCCTTGAAGTATCATTAGAGAAACATGAAGCATCATTAAGGAAGGAAAAAAAAAAAGTAGGAGCAAGAAAGTTGTCACAGCACATGCTGGTGAACAGCACTAGCTTGGAGTAAAGGTAGAGACTTGAGATGAGGGGTTTCAGATGGCTTCAGACTGGTAAAATGTGCGTGCTGAGGGAGCTGCTGGGGAGCCCCTCTCTCCCTGGTGTCCGTGGTCTCCATGCATGCATCCAGCTGGGAAGCTGCCTTTGCCCAGGTCCAGGGACTGGCGGGTCTGAAGAGCCCAGCCAGGTTTGTGTCAGCAGCACGGGACAGGCTGGTGACGAGGGAGCAGAGGAATCACTGGGGAAGGGTTTCTGGAGCTGTTCGTAGAGGGAATTTGTGGCACGTGGAGTTTCCTCTTGCAGTGCTTGAGCTCCTCCCTTATGCCCCGCTCACGCAGGGTGAGCAGTCACCCCATGGATGGTTACTCATCTTCGATGGTAGATGGTTACTCATCTTCCATGGTAGATGGTTGATGCTTTTCCTGCCTGGATTTATGGTTCCTGCTGGGAAAACAGCGGTGATGGGAGGGCTGGAGGTTTTGCTGGGCTGGAAGGCTGGGTTGGAGGAGCTCAGGAGATGAGACCTGGGAAAGAAGTAGGTGTCTGGGGAAGGTGGCTGTGTAACAAAGCAAAGAAAACAAAGATCTGGACAACTCATGAGAACCAAAGGACTTTGAGTCTGGGCATAGCATCCAGTTTCTCATGGGAAGGTGTTGGAAGAGGGGCCAAGTCCTGCTCTGGACTGTGGCAAAGCCTGCAGGCACTGCCTGTAATCACTTTTCCAAGGAAATACAGGTTCTTTCTTCAGTGTTAGGCTTATTTTAACCCTCTTCTAAAATGTGTGCATCCTGTGAAGGATGTTAGCACACAGTGTTAAATCCCAGGCGTTTCCAGGAATGATGATATGAGTTGAAAGAAGGAAAAAAATAAGGCAGAAAATACGCTAGAGCCTAGCAGTTGAGTGGAGGTGGAGTGGTTTGTAAAGTGATCCCTGACAAGTAATGTAATTAATTATACACTTAAAGGCAGTTTAAAACACTAAATAGCAATGGGGAGAGAACATTATCTACTCTGCATATAAAAATGATTATTTCAATTTGAGATGCCTAGAGATGAAATTTTGCTCAATGCTAAAAATGTTTATTTTAAGGCTTCAGGCAAATTTCAGCACATTCCAGGGAGGTGGTTTCCTGAGCAACCAGGGTGCCACCGCTTGGCCTCTCGCGCTGCTGCGGGGGATTATTGCTTTTGACATCTTGCGGTGTGAATCAGGGAACGAGATGATGTGCTCTGGACATTTTAACGTTGAGGAAGGAGAAAGAAGAGCGAGGTGGTTAGTATCTTCTGAGGGAAGTTCTAATAGCGAGGGCATAGTAAAGTTTTAAGCTTGCTATAAAAATTTTTTTGAATTATATTCTTAGTTTTGCTGAAGAAGGCAATTACATTCTGTAAGATGAATTTAATCTACTTAAGTGAAAGTAGAAATTGGCCCACATTTTACACTTGTTCCATTTAAGATGATGACAAAAGAGCTTTGAGAAATACATTTCTATCAGAATTAAATATTTTGGTAAAAGTTTTTGTGATTGCTGTGGTCGTTTAGAGTTCAGTCAAAGCCTTTTTAACTTGGAGTGTCTGTCGTGGAGAAGTTGTTCCTTGTTTCTTGACTCAGCGGTGACTTTATACGGAGGGTCTGGAAGGAGTGTGATCCATCCTCCCTCCCTGTCTGCTCCCGTCCTGCTTGGCAGAGGTGTTTGCGTTTTCCTTCCTGTCAAACTTTCTAAGGCAGTGGGATGGCTCAGGGATGACACCTGCACGGCCACCGTCGTTCTTTAAGGGGAATAACATGGAAGAGCAGTAGTTGACCTTCAAACCTCTGTTCTTCAACTCTTAAAAATTTTCTGTAATGGTCTGATGGTTCACAGTTTAATGTGTAATATTTTTTTCCCCAAATTTATCTCAGCTCATTCGTGTGGTGTCCAGGCTTCTTGGTTCTGCTTAGAGTCTATCACAAGAGCATCTTTCTTTGAACTGCTTTTTGGTTTTAGCATGGTAGTTAAAACGTATTTTGACTTACAAGTGCTCAGAAAACCTATTGGAAGCAGTCTGAGATGGATAGTGCTTTCAGGTAATTGCCTTTTGTCTTAGATCAATGTTTGCAGTTGCATTTTGTGTGATTTATTACCTTGTCATTACGTTTCAAAGGCTAAGTATGTTATGACATTATCTTTTAATTTGATTAAATTTCTTCTTCAGAAATTTTGGGACACAAATCTTAAACGTCTGGTCAGGGGATGTTTGCTTGTTCCACATTAGGCTGGCAGGCATCTGTTTCCATCCCTAATTGAGTTAGGTACCTTCGCGGTGCCGCCGCCACGGATGCGGAAGGGTGATTTACCATCACAGCATCGTTTCTGTTCATCTCATTGCTCCTTTTTCTCTCTCTTTTTTTTTTTTTTTTTTTTTTTTTTTTTGACATCTGCTTGCTGCTGCTGCTTCTTTCATTTCATGTGAAATGTGTATTTTTCATTTTACTTAAGCCACATGCTTCTCTTAAACACAACAAAACATTTATCAGGTGTTAGAAAAAAGCTTTTAACAGGGAATGCATAAAACAGTGTTGTACTCCTGATTTTTCATGGTGAAAACATAGGCAATGAGCCAAACACACCCACCCCAAAAAATCCCTAAACAAATTCAGCCAGCAGGATCCTTGTCCAACCTCTGTCATACTGGACACTGATAAATTGAGAGGAAGGCAAGGGAATAATCAAACCAGCCATGGCTTGACAAATGGTTTTACTGTTGAATCTTGTGGTTGTCCCAGCATTATCAAGCCCACTGACCTGAAGGGAATGGGAAATCGTTGTGATCAGCCCTAATTTCAGAAGAGAGTCGTGGCAGTTCGGTATGTCGGTTGCTATGGAAGCGATTGACTTTTCTCGCGCTTCTCTTGGGAGGACGGTGCTGGTTTCTCCTGCTGTATTGAGAGATGGAAACAGCTTCAGAATAAATTCCTGGATTAACCATCCAAAATTTGCACACACACACACACACACGCATCCCCGAATAAAACAAAACAAATCAACGCGCCCTGTTCTGAGATGCTGACTCTGAGAGAGGAGTAGTGAAGGCATTTTTAGAGTTTCAGCTGTTTGGGATTAGCCGTAGACCACTTGCTGTTTGATTTAGTTGGATTTGCTGCAAACTGAAAGTTGCAGCTTGGAGAACCGTGGCTGAGTTTACAATTTAGGGTTTATTGAACCTTCTCATCGAAGGGGAGAGGTGTTCAAGAGAAGAATTGAAAATAATACAAGTTCCATGT